CGAGCACGCCCTCAGATACCACTACGAAGACTAGGCCCCTCCCCCGACGGTGCGGCTTACCCAAGACGCCCCAAGCCCGCTGCAAGAGGGCTCGCAGACGAACGGCGACGGTGCGGTCTCCACGCGGAGCTGGCCGCACCTTGATCGGGATCGGCCAAGAGGGGGGTGTCCAAGAGGGGGGGGTGCAAGTCGTGACCTGCGGCATGTGCGCGGCCCAGCGGGGGGGCCAGGGACGCAATGAAGTAAGAAGAGGCGCCATAAAAAATCTGATACATATCATGGCCCCCGCCATGATACCTCCCCCCCCTAGTCATCACCCCCCTCTCTGCCGCCCCCGACTTGAGCGCCCCGCGAAGCCGTGCCCCGGACCCGGGGCCGAGCGACTGCGGAGGCTTCGAGATCATCCTCACAGTTGGTTCCTGCGCCTGCCGGCCTGCGTTGCCTTCGCGGGCCCCCTCGGCCCCTCTCGCCGCGCTCGCGGCCTGCCGCTGCTATAAGGAATCGAACTCTATACACCGCCGCTTCGTCCGACCCTGCGCTGAAATTCGCACAGGAACGCGGGTTCTGGTGTATACGGGATCCTGTTGTATGCATTGTTCGTTGTTTTCCCAGGACATCGGGGAAAAAAGTATACACCACACCACCCCAGCGTCATCCCCGACCCTCAAAAAGTCCTGAGATTCAAGAAACAGCCCGCCACTGGTGATGTATACGTTTCAGCTTCCGAGTTGCAATGCCTGCTGGGAGCGGAGGCCAGACGTCAGCTCACGACCGAAGAAAAACTCGAAGACGCACACAGGAGCCGAACAGGTGGCCTCGAGATGCTTCTACAAGCCTCTCGAGGAAAGCAATACGGCCGCCCCAAGACCCCCTCGGGCTCACAAGAGGCCTTTCAGGAGGCCCCACGCATCTCCCGAGAAGGCCTCACAGAAATCCGTTGATCCGCCTCAGCGGTGTTTCCACACGGTACCCAACACGGATCTACTTAGCCTGACCAGGGTGGACTCGATGGAGACACACCGCAAGAGTTTAGACATCGCGCTAGCATGCTGGTGTAGGCTGCCGCAAATGATTGGATCTACGAACGACGGCAACCTAAACCACACTGCCAGGAATGGGCTGACACGCGAAGGCGGAAACATAAGAGAACGATCGTCGAAGTTCAAGTCCAGCGAAAACAAAGTTCGGCTAAACTCATTCAAGCCCCAGGCAGCATACATCCAATCAGGCCATCGGGCTGTAGGCGGAGCAAAAGTGGCCCCACTCCCCCTACCACCTCCCCGCCCACCCACTGTCCCAACTTCGGCGAATCGCTGGGCATCAAGGCTTGTGTTTTCTGCAACTGGGGGGAAAAACTGTCGATGCGCAAACGCCGCCATGAAACACAGCGCATGAGCCTTTGTTGGCCTCCATGGGGCGCCCCCCAATGGCGACCGTCTCTGACCGCGTGTCAACACTGTGATCAAGAAGCTCTGATTATGGCCCGAGAGGCCTCCGAGTCACGCCCACGTGGCACCCAGGACACTGCAAGAAGCTCCAGTAGGCGGCCAAGGGCGCCAGGCTGGATAAAAAGGGCACCCAAAACACGTCCGAAGGCTCCGAGAGGCTGGCGAGAGCCTCCCAAGACTGGTGCCACGATGCGCAAGTGTGAGTGGTGTTCGCCCGCTCCTCCCGCGGTTCCTCCTCCTCCTCCTTCTGACCCTCCCCCCCCTCCTCCTCCTAGTCCTCCTCCTTCTCTTCCTCCTCCTCCTCCTCCTCCTCCTCTTTCTCCTCCTCCTCCTCTTTCTCTTTCTCCGTCTCTTTCTCTTTCTCCTCCTCCTCCTCCTCCTCCTCCTCCTTCTCCTCTCGCTCGCCCAAGCACTACCACTCAAATATTTGTTTAGGCCGCATGTGACCAGATCACCTCAGTCCATGTGACACAGCGTGGGACGCCACAAACAGTAAGCGAGAAACTGGTCGCTGGATGGGCTGGTGGGGGCACGCGAAGCGTCTGGATTAACCAATGACTTACCAGTGCCTTACCCAGCGACTTACCTCGTCCCCCCTGTGAACTCACACGCGGGATGCGCCCGACCAAAACTAATCACTCTCCGAGACTTGGGATATTTCTAAAGCCGCAAGCGCCCCGCGTGTGCATCTACAGGGCGGGCGAAGTCAGTCGCTGTGTGAGGGGCTGGTGCAGTAAGACGCGGGAGCTGAAGCAAGGCACTGGGGGCCGCGCAGGCCCCCTGGAGGCCGCAGACGGCGCCGAAGATTGCCTAAATCGGCCAGGCGCAAGAGTGGGGGCGCGAGGGAGCCGAAACCCGAGAGCGCGGGCCGCTCCTAATCGCATCGCGCTCGGTGTTCGGGGGGAGCCCGATGGGCCCGCACCGGAGGTCACTCCGGCGACAGGCCGCTCCTACGTGTGGTCGACGAAAGGGGCCGGGCCATTGGGGGGCGGAAAGATACGGATACGTGTTGTCCCCGGACCTCTCTTGGGGTGCGGTCTGACCAGAATTTCGAGGCGAATCCAGCGGTGACAACGAGGATTCCCCAGGAGGACCAGGAAAGGCCGAAAACGAAGGGGGACAACACGTATCCGTATCTTTTTCTCCCCCGAGGTCAGGCCCGGCGGCCAGCGGGAGGGCGGGCGCGCGCTGGGCGGGGCGGGGCGGGCGCGCAGCGCGCGGACGGGCACGCGTTGTGGGCGGGCGGGCGGGCGCTCGGGCGGGCGGGCGGCCCGGCGACGGGGCGCGCGGGTGTGCGGGCGGGCGGGAGCTGGGCGGGCGGGCGGTCCTTCCCACTGCTGGCGTCGGCTCCTCTCGGCCCCCTGTCTCGGAGGAAGCTTTTCGGGGGTGAGGTGACAACATCGTTGCCCTCCGCCCAGTGCCAGGATGGAGCGGGAGCCACAGAATATGAGGGCGTCAAGTCTCCGCCCCTTCCTTCCCTGGACGTCCCTTTGCACGTAGAATCATACTGTCACAGATGCTGAGGCCCGAACTGTACGTCGACAACATGTTGCACCACCTGGCGCGGACAAGAACGCACATTGCTTCTGAATCTGTCGTTCGTCTCCCCCCCTCCCCCCGATATTGACGGTGGGTGCGGTCTGGGCGAGTCGAAACAGCTCGGCGGTGCAACGTTTCGTCGTGAGCCCGTGGGGGGAGCAAAGACTCTTCGCCGTGGGCTCAGTGTTAAGATCGGGGGGAAAGGGGGGAGGAGCAGTGCAGAAGAGGTGCCGATGCGCGGCAAAAGTGGCACACCTTTTTTGTCGATGCACGGTGTGTGTGTGTGTGTGTGTGTGTGACCCCGTGGTGGCCATGACCAGGGCTGAACCTGAACGGTGTTTTTCGTTTTCGTTGTGTTTTCGTTTTCCCTCGCCTTTGTCTCGAATCCAGCACACAGCCCACAGCCCTTGACCGCGCTCAAGCACACAGCCCTTGTGACACGAACCGAACAAAAAAACTGCCGCTGATCAGATCTCCGACGATCTGCCCTGCTCATTCTGGGAGCTTCTTCTGGAGATGTTCGGCCTCCCGGGCCCCTTTTCTGGGGCCCCAGAGCATGAATCTGGGGCAAAATCCGGACCCCGAGGAAAAAGCACAGACTGTGGAAACGCACACACACAGTGTTTTGAACACGCTGTTCTGTTTTTCGTTGGTGTGTATGTGTATGTTTGAATGATTTTTAGTTGTTTGTTGTGTGTGTGTCCGTGCGTGCGTGCGTGCATGCGTGCGTGTGTTTTCCACAGGGCCTGCAGCTCTGGGGCCGGCGGATTGAAGAAACCATGCCGGCGGATGCATGGGAAGAGGGCCAGCCGAGACGGCGGTAGCTCCCCCCCCGCCCTGCCCATTCGAGGCATGAGCATGACGCAGGTCGGTTTCCTACACCGAGGTCGGGCATGTCCTCCTCAAGGCGGGTGTTGGAGGACAAATAGAGAACAGCCAAACCATACTAACCCATAAGATAACATAATCAAACAACCGTCCCCAGAACATGTTTTGTTTGACTATGTTCGAATCTTGCCATCGCTCGGACGTCCATTTCCCGTGCATTTGTCGGTTTCGTGCATTTTTTTTGCTCGATGGTCCAGGATGGTCCTCGATGGTTCTCGCCGAGACAAAATGCAAACGTCCGAGCGATGCCAGGGAATATTCCTCCTGTAGAGCGACATGCCCGACCTAATCCTACACGCGAGACCGACCCTGGGCAACAGTGGCCTTTGGTGCGCGGCCTGAGGCGTGGCGCGAGAAGCGGCTAACCCTAAGCGCGCAGGCCTCTCGACTCTTGACCGGCCCTCCTTCCCTTCCTTCCTCCCTCCTCCCTCCCTCCCTCCCTCCCTCCTCCCTCCTCCCTCGTCCCTCCCTCCCTCCCTCCCTCCCTCCCTCCCCTCCTCCTCCTCCTCCTCCTCCTCCCTCCTCCCTCCCTCCTCCTCCTCCTCCTCCTCCCCCTCCTCCCCCTCCTCCCCCCCTCTTCCTCCTCCTCCTCCTCCTCCTCTCCTCCTCCTCCTCCTCCTCCTCCTCCCCCTCCTCCTCCTCTCCTCCTCCTCCTCGTCCTCCTCCTCCTCCTCCTCCTCCTCCTCCTGGTCCTCCTCCTCCTCCTCCTCCTCCTCCTCCTCCTCCTCCGAAAGACCGCCGACGTAGCGACAATGTCACAACGATGACCCCGTGACCTTGACTGAAGGCCTCAACCCCTTCCCCAGGACCGGCTTGACATCCTGGGTCGTTGCTTTACGGTCCCGGGTCCCGGCGAGGGCCCCCGTCGGAGGGCCCCCGTCGGAGGACTGAGGTCTGGGGTTCGGCAGTTCTCGGATCGTGGCTCGGCTCTCCAGAGGCCCTCCGGGGCGATCCAGGCACCCCTCGAACGCCCTCGGCGCGGCCCTCGGCGAGGCGCAGCCGCGGGAAGGCGGGAAGGCCGAGAACCGACGAGAGGTCCGAACGCCCCGAAGATCTCGAGAGAGAACTCGAGGCACGACCCCTCGGATGGAGGCCCTCGCGGCGTCGGAGAGCGGGGCCCCGATCCTCGGTCACCCGCCACGCCAGGCGCCGCGCCGCCTCGGAGCCCGCGGCCCCCGGCTGGTCCTCGAGCACGAGCACCCTGCCGTGGGCCACCCGCGCCGCCTCGCGGAGCACCGCCCCGCAGCCGGCGTCCCCGCCGGAGACGTGGTGCAGCAGGAACGCGAGCACCTGCGGGCTAGACTTGGGTCGGGCATTGTCCTCCGACAGGCGGATGCTGGTGGAAGGGAAGCAGGACATAGAACAACCAATAATCAGAAAGAGTCCAGCATCGTAGAAGCATCGCCCCCGTATTAGATATGTTGACTTTTTGGGATGTTCCTCCTGTAGAGGGACATGCCCGACTTCATGTTAGATGCTCGTGCTGGAAATCTTCCTGTAGCCGAGTCGAACACGAGCCGAGCTCGAGCCGAGCTGGAGACAACCTGCGGTCGAGCCAGAATCGAACAGATCCGTGAGGTGGGCCCTTACGGAGGTGCCCCGAACGAGCATCTAAGAGGAGCAGGAACAGGACACCCGCATCGCGCCGATGCGCACTCCATTGCGGAGTGGGTGGGCAGCGCCGCAGCGCTCAGAAATAGAGCGTGGCGGAACATGCTTCCAATCGACACTCTCCTCCCCAGACAAGAAGCATCGAACTCTTCGGCCGCGGACCACAGACCAGAGAAGGCAAAGCACAACAAGGAGTGGCATGTCCAATGCAGGGGGCAGCGAGGGTAGACCCAGGCATGCTCGCGTCGTGGCACACATGGGCGACGATCAAAAACGGGTCTTACGCGAGATGACGTAGCGACCTCACGCGGTGGTGTACGCGGGCCGCCAGCGCGGCACGCTCCTTTGGAGAAAAAGGCGCTTACGCGCGACCTTACGCGGGCAGCTTACGTGCCTACGACGGCACAAACGATCCAGTTTTTTTCGGGCGTTGGCAGAACTGGGTTAGTGAGACCTGGTTTAATGATGTGTACTGGAAGACGCTCCCCCCCGCCTAACTGGAACTGCCGTCACCCCAAAAAACACCAGCTACGGCAGACCTGGTTCAGTGATTCTGGCCAATTTAAGGGGCTCCGGTGCCCTACTACTGACCAGGTCCCCATTACCTGGGGTCCTTCCTGGATATACCCGATTTTTGCGTCGTTCACATGCGGCGGGAGGCTTTTCGCTGCACCTTCGGCCTGCGGCCTCGCCAGGCCCCCCCCCTCCCCCGGGGCGCCACGAGACGGCTCGGGACGCAGCGCCGGGCCCCCGGGGGGCCCCAAGGGTCGGGGCCTCCGAGGACCCCAGGCATGGAGCACATCGGGTGAGCGTTCTCTTGTTCGGCGTTGCGGCACTGGGCGGAAGGGGGAGGGGGTGCACGCGTTTCCCCCAGGGCCGTTGGCGACCCGAGGAGGAGGAGGAGGAGGAGGAGGAGGAGGAGGAGAGGAGAGGGGAGGAGAGGAGGAGGGGAGGAGGAGAGGGGAGGGGGGGAGGGGAGGGGGGAGGAGGAGAGGGGGGGGGAGGGGGGAGGAGGAGGAGGGGGGGAGGAGAGGGAGGGAGGAGGAAAACCTCCAGGGGGGAGGGGGAGGTGAGGGGGGACCTTTTACTGTTTGCACCATGCGTCCTATGGGGGGACCAAACCTGCTCGAAACAGGCGCCCAAAACAGCCAAGATCTACTCCATGGGGGCGGGGGGGGGGGGCGGGCGAGGGCGCGCGCCGATTCGCAAAACAGTGAATACGAAAACGATCACCGAGATATCCGATGTCTTCGGCTCGGGACGCAGCGCCGAGCCCCTGGTCGAGGGCCGGGACCTCCGAAGACCCCGGGCCATGGAACACATCAGGGCATTGGACGTCTGGGCTCCCGGGGACGACTCGCTCCAAGCTGCCGGCGTGGCCTCTTCGTCGCAGCGGGCAGCCTCGCCCCGGGACCCGGGCCCAGGGGCCCTCACGGGCCGATCCAGCTGGAGAACTGCCGCAGGAGGGCGGGGACCGAGGCTCGTGCCGAGATGCCCTGCGGCGCTTTGATTGTTCGTGACGTCGGGACTCAGGGGATGGGCTCAGGTCGGGCATGTCCCCCTACAGGCGGAGTTTTTGTTTGTGTGTTTTTTTTGGGGGGTACTTGGGGTAATAGCTGTGCAACGGCACAATGAAACTGTCACGACAAATGCCAGACTGCACAATGAAACTGTCACAATGGAACTGTCCCCCTACAGGCGGAGTTTTGAACAAATGCCAGGGCAAAAAATCAAGAGATCATTGAAAAAGCGTCCCCAGACTACTTCTGGACCAATTTTGAATGTTCCTCCTGTAGAGGGACATGCCCGACTTACGGATAGGCGGGACTCGCTCAGGGGAAGGACACCACCGGCCTGGAACCGGCGAGACACGTCGCCGACAGGTCAGCGACAGGCCCCCGATGGCAAGTCCGCACGCTCCTGGGCGGGCTGCGGCTATGGGGCCCCTATCGGCGATCAGTCCGTCGTTGCACGCAAACTTGCAGCATGGGGGCCACACGCGAACCCTACCCCTACCCCCTTTGAGTCCTGAGGGGGTAGGGCTCGCATGTGGCCCCCTACAGTGCCGCATGCAGGGATTCAGTATTAAGAACAATGATGAGATCATGTATTAATTCATTCATACATTGATCATGTATTAAAATCCGATATGCTAAAAAATCCTATGTATCAAAAACTGCCCTGAAATCACATACCAGCTCTCTGCGGCTTGCCTCGAGCCGGATCGATCTGCGAGTCCGGGCGCCCGAAATCTGGGGCGAGAACGCCCGGCGCGAAAGAAAGCTATGCGGCGCCAGGATCTCCGGGAATGGGCGATGGGGGATCGATGCATTCCCCATGTCCGCGGCCAGCGGACCTCCATTCCGGGCAGAATTTGGACCTCCGCCCGCCACTGTCCTGCATCCCCCATGTCTCCGTCCTCCACGTCGCCACATCCCATCGGGACCTCCGCCCGCCACTGTCCTGCATCCCGCAATGTCTCCGTCCTCCACGTCGCCACGTCCCGTCTGGATCCCCGCCCGACACTGTCCTGCACCCCCCAATGTCTCCGTCCTCCATGCCACTGTCCTGCATTCCCCATGTCCGCGGCCAGCGAGCCGCCATCGCTCGGACGTCCATTCCCCGTGCTCTCTTCGGTCTCGCGCGCCCACTGCCTCGCGAGAGGATCCAATGTGCTCCTCGAGGGCCCTCGCCGAAGAAAAATGCAGACGTCCGAACGATGCCAGGCTGAGCCGGATTCACCCCCCCAAACGTTGTACGTACCCCCGAGCGCCACGCAGTCGAAGCTCCCGTCCGCGAACGGCCACGGGTCTGGCCGGAAGATGGCCAGGCGAGACCATGGCAGCCCTGCCCGGAGTGCGTTGCGCCCCGCCTCCGGGAAGCTTCTCGCAGCCATGGATGGATCGACCCCGGGAGCTGAGCAGGGACCGACCGTCCTGGCATTAGGCCAGCCACGTAATGCCGTTAGAACCCCATAATGTGCTAAGAGCAAAAACAGTGCTCTCAGAACAGGAGCCCGATGTGCGAAAACAAAACAGTCTCAGCCAACAAAATGTTCTAAGAAGACTCCGTGCAAGCCACCAAAGGTTCTTAGAACACTGTTTGGTGCGCCTGTGGCACGCCAGGATGCTTCGCTTGCTTCGGGGAGGGGCTCGGGCAGGGCTTTCTCGAGCGGGCTTGGGCCGGCGGGAGTCCCGAGGTCCGACGTCGTGGCACCATGGGAGCACCGTCAAAATCGCGACCCCATCTTTTTGCACCACTGGATCGATCCGTGAGGGCCCCGGGGCCCGAGACAGGGCAACGTCTGAGGGAGGGAGGGAGGCAGGGAGGAGGAGGCGGAGGAGGAGGAGGGCGACGACGATGAAGCGGCGGGGCAGGAGCACCAGGATGAGGACGAGGACGAGGACGAGGACGAGGCTGAGGCTGAGGCTGAGGCTGAGGCTGAGGCTGAGGATGAGAATGAGGATGAGGACGAGGACGAGGACGAGGACGAGGATGAGGACGAGGACGAGGACGAGGATGAGGATGAGGATGAGGATGAGCATGAGGATGAGGATGAGGATGAAGATGAGGATGAGGAGGAGGAGGATGATGATGATGATGATGATGATCAGGAGGAGGAGGAGGAGGAGGAGGAGGAGGAGGAGGAGGAGAACGAGCAGGAGGAGGAGGAGGAGGGCCCACAATGCCGCGCCAGGATCGAATCAAGAAAGGGCAGCGCCGCCGCGGTCTCCGCTGGCCCTCCTCCGGTCTGGGCCAGCGTGCGCGACGATCTGCGCCCGCTCGCTCCCGCCCCCTGGCGTCCGCCGAGGTGCTCTTCTTCAACCCGCGGCCCCGAGGTCCCGACCCCTTCCCTGGGGACCGCTCTCCATCCCGGGTCCTTGACGGCTATATCTATATATATAGATATCATGTATATAATGTATATATAATGTGTATGTATATGTATATGTAGGTGTATGTATGTATATATATTATATATATACATATATATGTAACTGTATATTTACAGGTACATGTACATGTAAGTGTATATGTGGAGCCCGAGAGCTGGCCGGCCCTCGGGGTGGGATCGAAGAGAAGTGCCCGGATTGAACACATCACATCGCTGGAGGCTCGCCATCTGCACGACGTCCACTCCCCGTGTTTCCGTCGGCTTCGTGCGCTTATTTTTCCGACATGTGACCCCAGATGCTCCCCGAGGGTCCTGGTCCTGACCGAGACAAAAAAATGCACACGTCCGAGCGATGCCGAGAAGATCTGACCACCTACCTCCACCCCAACCCCACTCGAAAACCCGAATCCGCTCGAATTTCAGGCTGCGGAGGGGGGGGTACGGGCTTCCTGTGTCTTGTCCATGCTCACCGACCCCCCTGCACTGGAAATGGAGGCAAATCGGGGCCCTCAGGCTGGGGTTGAGGAGGAGGAGGAGGAGGAGGAGGGGGAGGAGGATGAGGAGGAGGAGTTTGGGGGCGGTGAAGACCTGCGCCTGCGTTCAGGCGGGCCGCCGCGCGGCCGGCCAGCTCGGGGTTCTCCTCCATGAGCGTCACGGCGCACGGGCGTCCGCCGGCCACCTCCGGCGCGAGCAGCCACGCGGCCAGGAGAGCCGTCGCCCCCGCCCACGTCCACACGGTGAGGGGCTCGGGCGCGGGGCGCCCCAGGTCTCGCCGCAGGCCCCGCAGGAAGGGGCGGAGCGCCTCCAGGAGGAGCACTGATGAAAGAACTGGGCATTGTCCTCTGCTCCTCCTCTCCTCCTCTCTGCTCCTCCACCTCCTCCCCTCCTCCACCTCCCCTTCACCTCCCCCTCCTCCTCCGCTCCTCCTCCTGCTCCTGCTCCTCTTCCTCCTCCTCCTCGTGCTCCTCCTCCTCCTCCTCCTCCTCCTCCTCCTCCTCCTCCTCCTCCTCCTCCTCCTCCTCCTCCTCCCCACTGGCGTGGCCTGGGCCTGGGCCCCACGGGCCGACGCTGCCCCCCTAGTTGGGGATGTGGGCTGTTCCCTTCGGGTTACAAAGGACCTGTCCCCAACTGGGGTGGGATGGTGGGGCTGAGATGCCACGGGCCGTTGGGGCCCCAGGACACACACAAATAGATACACACAAAGAAAAATAACCCCCATATTTTCTAATATTTTCTGGGTTTTTGTCTTCCCCCCCACCGTCCGTACTTTCCCATATTTTCTGGGGAATCGAGGATTAATTGTGTCTGTGTGTTTCTTTTCCTCCTGACACGGGCCGTTGGGGATGGGGATCGGTTAAACGATACTGAACAACACACACTCATACCTACAGGGAGTAGGACTGGGGCAGGGCAAGATGGTGAAGGCGCCATGTAAGTCTCGGTGCGAAATCCCGAACCCCGACGGGGTCTCCCGTTCGAGCGGGGACCCAATCCGCGAACACACACACACACACACTGACACACACACACAGACACACACACACACACAAACACACCATACACACAACACACACACATCACACACAGACACCACACACACAACACACACACACACACGCACGCACGCACGCACGCACGCACGCACACAAGCACGCACGCACGCAAGCACGCACGCACGCACGCACGCACGCACGCACGCGCGCACGCGCGCACGCACGTGCGCACGCATGCGCGCGTGTGCGTGTGCGTGTGCGTGTGCGCTCACACGCGCGCGCGAGCGTGTGCGCGCGCGCACACGCTCACACGCGCGCGCACACACAACACACATAGCCCCCCCCGGAAGTCCACCCCGAGAACTCCAGGGGTCGCATGCATCTTGGTGCTCGTTGCCAGCTCGTCACTTCGCAGGTCCGCGCGGACTTCGTGCATCGGCGCTGGCCCACCCCCCCTCCCTGGCGCGCGGCGCGCGCCGGCGGCGCCTCCACCGGGGGCCCTGTGCCGGTCCAGGAGATCGGCGCAGATCCTCGAACACGCATGTGTGCCCAGGCCGTTGCTCCTTCTTCTTCGGGCCTCGGCCTCGATCCTCACGAGCTGTGGGTGGCCTATCCCCCCCCACACACCACCAGCAGGAGCACTGGGTGTCCCGTCGAGGAGGGCCAGGAGCGTGCCAGGAGGGCGCTGGAGGCGTCGCCAGGAGGGCCCGTCGCAGACCCCAAGAAATCCGCGTGGACCTCCGACAGTTTGCCATGCATTTCGTTCGGCACCCTCGTCGTGAAGGGGCCCAGGGACACACACAAATCAATACACACAAGTCCCAGGGTTCCAAATCTATTATATTTTCTTGAGTTCCGTCCTTCCCCCCAACCTCTTATAGTTTCCCACACTTTCCAGGGCATCGCCGATTCGTCGCGTCGGCGTGTGTGCTTTCCCCCTCCTGACTTCGAGAGGGGCCCCCAGGGCGGCCCCTGATGGGCCTCGCCAGGACAGCTCGCACGGGCGACGACAGCCAAGCCCACCCCCCGCCAGTCATCGAGTCTCCTGCATTGGTGGGCAGGATTAGGTCGGGCATGTCCCCCATACAGGCGGACGTTGGACGAAATATCAATAAAGCATAAAGTATGCAAAAGTAGCAGAACAGATGAAAAACAACTCGTCCCCAGACTATTGCTTTACTAGTCTTGAATATTGCTCCTGTAGAGGGACATGCCCGACTTGAGGGTAGGATTCGGCTTCCGCCACGCGTTCGACGAAGTCCGAACCCTACCCTCGCCGCCCAGCGAGCTGCCCGAATCGTTTATCGGCGAGTGCAGGGTTCGGAATTCGCCGCCGATGGCAGGCGACCTTTTTTTAGCATGGACCGGCCGTCCCGGCATTCCTATGATCCTACCACGACATGCTCTTAGAAACCCCGAATGTCCTGAGAACAAAAACAAGGTTCTTAGAACATAAGCAAGACGTGCTAAAACAGGACAGCTTCAGCCAGAAATGCTCGAGGGACATCTTCCCTGCAGACCACAAAAAGGTTCTTAGAGAACATCCGTGGGTGGGCCTGTCGGCGAGCCAAGACTCCTCGCCGCTGCCTGCTTCTTCCGCCTCGAGCCTCGGCGTAGCGCCGCCGGCTCTCCTCGTCGCCGCACTCCTAGGGGAACAAAAAGTCACACAAACATAGGAAACCTCGGAGGTCCGGGCGGATTTCTCGCATCGGCGCTGGACCCCCTCCCTGGCGCGCGGAGCGCGCCAGGGGCGGCGCCGGAGGCGCCGCCGGGGGGCCCCAGCGCCGACCCGAGAGATCCGCGCGGACCTCCGAGGTTTTTTATGTTTATGTCAGTGCTCGTTCCCCTGCCTATCTCCTCCGCGACCACGCGCGGCGTCTCGGCCAGCGCCGCGGCGGCGCCCGCGCGCAGCGTGCAGACCACCACGGAGGCGGCGCGCGGGGAGCCCGCGGGGGTGGCCCTGCCCGCCGCCCCGGCCACGCGCACGTCCCACGCCAGGTGCGGCAGGCGCAGGAAGGCGACGGTCGGCGGCGAGCACGGGGGGGGGGGGGCCAGCCTCGAGCTTATCCCCATCCCTAAGACTGACACCCCAAAAAAGCGATGACAATCTCAGGGAAGCGCCCTCGAAAAAGAAGGGAAGCCCCAGGATTGGCATCGTGATGAGGAGATGCCCAGCACAGGGATAGGGAAAAGTTCCAGGCTGGTAAGGGGGGGCCAGGCCCGGAGAGGGCCTCCGGCCTCCCGCGTCCGCGGAGCGCTCTCAAGGCCTGCTCTGGCCACCGCTCGGGCGCGCACTCCGCGTGCGCGCTTCTGCTCGTGGTCGCGCGTGCCTCTTGTTGTGCTCGATGGTCCAGGGTGCTCCTCGATGGTCCTCGCCGGGAGAACATGCACACGTCCGCGCGATGCCAAGTTCTCGAGTTGGGGAGACGTAAGACTCGGGCTCGGGGGACTCGAGTTGGACTGAGGGGGCCAAAATGAAAATGACGAGATCCAACATGAAATTTGATGCGAGCTCCCGCTGCAAACATCCCACGAAATCTGGACCGTCAAAATCCAGGACGCGCTCGTCAACAAAAACGTCGGCAACCCCGAGTCCTGGCGCACTCGAGTCTTACGCTTCCCCGATCCAGAGACAGGGAGGGCCTCGGAAGAGCCTCGCCGCCTCCCGAGAAGGCCCAGCCCCCTCTCGATTTTCCGCCCCCAGGCGCGCCGCCGCCAAGGGCAGGACCTCGCCGTCGGCTCCAGCGCAGGTGCGGAAGACGATGGAGGGATGACACGCGCTGGCCACGACGAGGCGAGTGCGTTGCATTACTCGCAAAGTAGCTACTCGCAAATTGCTTGGATCCGCCGCAGGGGATTTACGATAAATTACACCAAGACAGACTTGCGAGTAGGCACTTTGCGAGTGGTGGAACGCGCTCGGCGAATGACCAAGATGTCGCGGGATGTGGTCAACGCCGATCCTGGTCATGGCCCATGCCGGCGTCGCCGATTCGCGATGATGGTCCACGAATCGGCGGTCCCCGAGCTGGATGGTGACCAGGATCGGCACTGGCGCTTCTGCGTCCAGTCTTGGCAATGGTCCTCGTTTGTGAACGGGCCCTGGCACACACAAATAAATACACACACAAATAACAGGATTCCCAATATTTTCCAATATTTCCTGGGTTTTCGTCTTCCCCCCCACGTCCAAGATTTTCCCATATTTTCCTGGGAGTCGACGATTAATTGTCTGCGTGTGTTTTTTCCCTCCTGACGTTTGCCCTCCCTCGAGATGAACTTCCCCCCGGGGCGCAGCACCTTGGCCACGGAGGCGAGGTTGATGATGAAGCTCCTCGCCAGGCTGAACTCGTGCCCGCCGTACGGGTAGAAGTGCCCCTGCCATTGCGGCAGGCCGCCGAGCATGCCCGTCTCGGCGGCGACCGCCTCCAGCACCACGTCGAACGAGCACGCGGGCATCTCGCGCAGCGGCGACGTTGGCGGCTCTGCCGCTGTCAGCAGAGAGGGCCAAGAAGCGGCAGAAAAGTCAGCAACTTCTGAAGTTCCGCGCGGGACCCCCCCTCCCCATTTCCTCGGCGCGCTGCTGCATGGGGGGGCGACACTCGGGGGATCAAAGGAACGCGCACCTTTTTGTTGGCCCCAGGGGCCCCCAGTAGGGGCCCTGAAGGTTCACGAAAGGCTCGGGGGCCTGCACACATGGATTAGCGATCCATGGATTTGGCGCGCGGTCGCCAAATCCACGGATCGGGGGAGGCGCCCTCCCCAAAACGCGCCCGCGGAGCCGCCTCGCTCGGCGGCGGAACTCCGCGACTCCCCACGGAAACGGGGCCCGCCGCTCCTCCGCGCCCCCTTGACCCATGCCTGCGACCGCCTGGAAGGTGCTCTCGACCCACGCCCCCCTGACCCATGCCTGCGATCCCCCCCCCTGGACCCGTGCCTGCTTCCCAGACCCCCTCGGGTCATGAAAAAATCACGACGGGAGGTTTTTCACTGTTTTCGGCCTCTGGGGGCTCGCACCGGGCCTCGGGACCGTCAAAACACAACTCAGGATGAGAAACCGGTCCCGGGGAATGGGTCCAGATCGACCTCTGGGGGTCGCGTCATGAAAAAATCATGACGTCGGGGGTCTGGGTTTCGTCACCCCCTCTTTGGACACGCCCCCGCCACGCCGCGCGCCAACTTCCCCGGCGCGAGGAGCGCGCGCCCGGGGCGGCACGGGAGGCGCCGCCGGGCGCCGGAGGCGCCGGTGCTGTGTCGGAGGAAGCTCGCGGCGGCGGGGCCGGGAACCAGCGGCACGCAGCAGGTCTCGCAGCCTCCCCTCGAGCTGAGGGGGAAAGATTTTACAGCCAACCCGCATACAGTCGGGCCCAGAACACGAGGCCCTCCGCCGGCCAGCACACACACACAGACAGAGCATCCGAGGGTATTCTCCCCAGGATGCGCGAGAAAGCCCAGCAAGCGCGAAGCACCCTCGGATACCCTCCCCGAACCGACCTCGCTCTTGTACCTGCTGGTGGAAAACAGGCCCATCAGGGAGGCCGCCCTCCTTGGCCCTCCGAGTCAGGCCCGCCGCCGCGCGGCCCGCCACCGCGCGCCCGCAGATTGGGCCCGGCCCCTCCTTCGCCGCCACGGCCAGCACTTCGAGTTCGGCACCCCTATCGGCCGCCAGCGCCCCCGCCTCTCGATGGGGAGAAAAACAAGGCACCCTGAAAGGTCTTTAGGACCAGCGCCCCCAATAGGGTGTAACCAATCACTTGCTTGGCGGCCTTCTTGAATGGCCGGGGTGCCACCAACAGGGGGTAACTAATTGCTCTGTTCCGCGGCACCCGCCGCGCAACAACGAGGAGGAGGAGGAGGAGGAGGAGGAGGAGGAGGAGGAGGAGGAGTTTTTATCCAGACTGGGCCACAAGCGTGCGCAGGCTACGCAAGGGGAGGAGGAGGAGGAGGAGGAGGAGGAGGAGAAGGAGGAGGTTTTAGGACCAGTCCCATTCACCGCCGAAAGGAAATGGGGGGGGGGGCAAACGTAAAGACTTCTAGCGGCTCCCCCAGGCCCCATCGCGTTTTTAGAAAAGTAGATGGTGGAAAACTTTGGGCTCATTTGGGCCTCTGGGGGCCCTCGCTGGGACCCGGGACCCTCAAGGGATATCTCTGGCCGAAAAGCCGGTCCCAGGGAATGAGTCAAGACCTCCATCGGGTCACGTCGCGGGAAAACTACGACGTCGGGGGTCTGGGGCCGCTACTCCCTGGACCTCTCTTGGGGCTGTTCTGACCAGACCTCCGGGGATAATCCAAACGTGGCGACGAGGGCATCCCTGGAGGCCTAGACAGGCGAAAACGAATGAAAGGCAGCGGTATCCCTCGGCGAAAACACATGTCCCGAAAACGCATTTCCGAAATCACGACCGGAACTCTGGAGCCCATCACTCTGCGCTTTGATTCGAGCCGGGGAAACCGCTTGAGGCCCGATCCACCGAGCGCCCAAGAGGCCCCCAAGAAGTCCCAAGGGGCCCCCAACAGGCCCTACCACACCTAACCCTCAACCGAATCCCTGCCCAAACCCTCCCCACTCCTAATCCTAACCCCTGCCCTACGCCTAACCTGAACCTCCATCACTGTTAACTATTAGTATACACCCCCTCCCCCAGGCGACTGGGAGCCAACCCGAGCTAGTGAGGCCCCCCACCTCCACTCGTCGACATGGACTTTCTTGACGTCGACGCTGAAAACAACTGTAGCAGAGATGGGACGAAGCGCGCATCGCGCGCGGACGCTTGGCCAACCCTACGCGGGACCCATTGTCCTACCTGTGGAAAGAAAAACCGCCACGTCTACGGTTTTCTTGCCAACATGTACTTTCTCCTCGTCGGCGCTGCGAATCGCTTAGCGGGAATGGGACGCGGCGCGCATCGCGCGGGGACGTTTGCTCGTCAACGTGGACTTTCTTGCCGTCGACGCTGCGGCCCGAGGGGTTGAGGAGCTGGGCGGGCGGCGAGTCAGAATGCCTCAAGCAAGTGCGGTTCGCCGCCGGCGCGCCCGCTGTCGTGTCCGAGCGTTTGGCCGCTCACGAGATACGATGAGCGACGGGCGTCGGACGCGACGCACTCGTTTCTCATGGTGTGGGAGGGCGGGTGGGAATTGACGGAACCCTCTGGCTCGTCCGAGCTGGCTAGCTTGACCCCTACCCTAAACCTTAGCTCTAAGACCTCACCCTAACCCCTACCCCCATCCCGAACCCTGACCCCGATCCTTAACCGCAATCCTATGCCCGAGCCCTAAACCGTAAACTCCACCCTAACCCCTACCCGTAACCCTAGTCCTTATATTAACCCTAAGCCCTAACCCTACTCCCTCAACCCGACCTCAAGTAATCCCTACCCAAATCCTCACCTGTACCCGATAAGCTCTAACCGGGACCTAACCCAGAATCCTAGCCCGAACCCGAGCCCTTACCCGAATCAAACCTCAACCGTAAACCCTCACCCCTACCCCCTAACCCGAACCCTTTATCCTAAGCCCAAGCCCCCAACCCTCGCCCCTAATCCCAACACAAACCCCTACCTTTAACCCCTACCCGAACCCTAAACCCGAACCTTTACCCCGACCCTAAACCTCAACCCTAACCCGAACCCGAACACCTAACCCTAACCCCTACCTAAACCCGACCCCCATTACGTCAACCTTCACCCCTACCCCCATTAACCCGAATAACTACCTCTAACCCCTAAACCTGACCGCAACCCCTAATCCTGGCCCCTGTCCCTAACCCTTACCCTAACATCGAATGCGAACCCCGAACCCCAACCCTAACCCCCAACCATTTCCTAACATTAACCTTAACCTCTGATATTAACCCTAACCCCTAACCCTAACTTGATCACTGCTCCCTATTATGAGACACCCCTTCCCCCAGGCGACTGGGAGCCAAACGGGCACACTGGGGGCACCCACCCACCATCCCTCGTAACAAAAACAATGCAAAACCACACGCTGCTTCCAAATTCGGAGCATGCGCAGCGAACCCGACGCGGCCTCCCCCCCAACACCCCTGTCAAAAAATACTTGGCGGCAACAGC